GGGAAAGTAAAGCAGACACACTCGGAGCCGAAACATCACACAAAGAAGCCCGTCCAAAGAATCTCGACTCGTCTATACAACGCCAACCTTCATCTACATGAAAGTGCCGTACTATGAGAAGGCGGAATCTTAGTTACGGCCGAGGACTGATCCGGGGAACTCTGGGGAAAAGAATGAGGGGCAGAGGGAATGTTGGAACATCTAGGGCTCCGCCAGAGGAAAGATGGGAAGTTTAACCTTTCTGACATTCCCCTGGGGGCCGTTTTGGAATAAGTCAGGCACAAGAGGAGGAAAATTGGGGAGCAGGAGTACGTGCACTTTGCTCTGACTGGACAAGAGACGAAGTTTGCAGAACCCAGCCTCATCCAAGAGGCTTCATCCATCTCTCTTGGACGGTGAAAAACCAGTGTCCTGAGGGGGTGGGCGGAGGGAAACAGAGAGGAATTGGAGTCGAGGGGTCGCTCGCTATAGCACAAGTGAGTTTCGGGAGCTCGTGAGTGGAATTGAGTTGTGCTCTCGCAAACCATCCGATTCTACACTCCCACGAAACTCCACCACCCATCTCAGCAATGTCGTTGTATTTATTATTTTTTTGCATGTGCTATTTATACGAGATACCTATGTACGAGGAATAGATGCTTGGGCAGGCGAACAAAAAGGATAGATTTTCTCTCAATCATCATTCACACAACACACATCAACCACCCCACTCGTTACCTACCCACTTCTTCACATGCCAACTACACCTTGCCTTGACTTGCAAATGGAATGCGTTTGGTTGACGATGACTCTCCGTCACCCCCGGATAGGACGGGACCTGCGGTGGACTGCCAACCACGGCTTCACGTGGGGGAATGTGATGACGGAAGCCTCCGTGGAACCAACCCGCCTCCCCGAGTCCACCTGCTGCCCTACGGTGCCTATACGTACGTGCAAATTCGCCGCCCGCTAGTGAGACCTTGCAAGCCTGGTCCCCGGCGAATGGGAACGAGATACCGACCATCCGGAATGGAGGCTCAGTTTAATCCCACGCTGTGTCTTTCGGGGATGCCTTGGCTGCTTACCACCCGTGTCTAACAAGTTTGCTTGCCGCGACCCGACAGGCACACATTCGCACTACATATTATTACTCACCCCTCGTATTTGGCCATGCTTCGTGAGGTCTCACTGAATGATAACATCAAGATTTTAGGTAGGGACCGCGAAACTTTCAATTCGGGTCCGAGCGTGTTTCTCATGGTAGCTAAGCTCGGCGTTCGTCGCCGACCGTTCATCCGCCTCTCGCCCGGGCTGTGTGCCCGCAACTTAACCCCTCTTCCAAGTCCGGCCTGTTGTGAACTCTGTACCTATCGCGGCCGCCTGATAAAACGCAAAATCCATGCTTCCACCCACTTTCAGTCTGTCCGGCCGTCGGTACAAGCCCGTCCTCAACCCAAAGCTTTCGCCGCGTGACAGCCAGCGATGTAACGATACCGAAGCCTTTCCCCCTCTCCGTACGCCGGACATGAATCCATGTCGAGATCTTGACACCATCAACATTCTCTGATGGGCCGCAAGCAATAGCCAGGCATGTTCTTTTCCGGACCAATCTTATTTTGGAACCCGAAATCTTGCAATTTGCGATTGTCCTCCTCCATATTCCCCATGCCGTTTGTAAACTCCTCGTGAAATTGCAGTTGCATTCCGCTTCCGTGATCAAATGTGAGACAACAGTCTCATGTGCATGTGGTATGGAGCTTCCCCGCTCAGTGTGCAGCCGCAACCGGGCTGCATCACAACCAACCGAACGCCACGTGGGGTTGAGCCGATAGAAAGTGTTCCCCAGCTTAAAAAATAGACAGGGATAAGGACGCTCAGAATCTGTGAAACGCTTGATGATCTTTTGCTCGTTTTCCATATGGCGAAAATCATGTTCTTGTAGTGAAATGCCATCTTTGATGGGGCTTATTACGATGGCATGATGGTCAACATCAGTCGTAGTAGCCGTTCCTGACGTGGGCTTCTCAGTCCATGTAGAAATCGCCCTTGAGAATGCGTTCCTGGAAGGCATCCGGCTTGGGTCGCTCGGGAGCCTTGGGCTTCATAGCAGCCGCCTGGGCGGGAGGAGCAGGCATCTCGGAGACTGATTTCTGACGATCGTGGGCGACGCCATTGCCGGGGCCGCGAGGAGGAGAGGATGAAAGACCAGAGCCGAAAGAAAAGGACGCTCGTGGTCCCTGAACAGAGCTCTCGGCGCGAGATCTAAGCTGCTCGGACCAGTTGAAACCTTGGTCTGGGCGAGAGAACACGTCAGAAGATGATCTTTGCTTGTGTGCAATGCTTGCCTGTACAGTGCTGCTAGATCGACGCCTGGCCGACGACAGAGCAGCAGCGATGGACGAAGTATTGGTCGGTGGCGTGGAACTCGCAACCGAACCAAGACCTCGTGGAGAGTGCACACTGCCACGTCTGTCGAGGGCAGCAGGAGTGCTAGGCACGGGAGTGGCAGAAGCAGAGGGTAAATCATTACCGTTTGAACCCGGACTTCCACCGCCATTGCGCATGGTGCGCATTGCCTGAGCTCCGAAGCTCATTCTGCGGGTGAAGGGAGTGGTAGGTGCTGTGCGGGCGTTGGGGGGAATCTCCTCCTCGTCGATTGCATTCTCATCGATGGAGTCGTTGGAGTTGGTCGAAAGACTTCCCCGTCGGAGAGAGTTGAAAGCACTGGCACCAGTGGGCGAAGTTCCAGTGAGGCCGAGACCGGTGGTGACGGAGAGTCTCCGTCTCTGAGCATCGCTGGTGCCAGGGAATGCACCGCCGTTGGAGGTAGAGTTGCTTCTGAAGAGACCAGCGATAGCCTGCTGGGTGACTGATCCACGTCTCTGGCGATGCATTTCGTTCGGGTTGTTCTGAGTGTTCTGGTTGGAGTTGGAGTTGTCGTTGGACATGATGGGCAAAAGAGATAGTAAGGAACGAATTGGGGGCTGTAGTATATGTAGTCGGGGATATCGGTATGTCGTGCGTCGGGTTGTTGTATGCGTTTAGGTAGTCAGAGGGTAGTCCAAGTTGTGTTTCGGAGGTGCGTCTTGCGTGGGGTGAGATCTAGAAAGAATCGAAAGAGGGATCGAACGGGGAATCGTTCGACAGGTGCGGATGTGTGGAACAGGGTGGTTATATATCGAGGTGGCCGATGGACTGATTTGGGGTGACACTAGGGGCGGGTTACAAAAGGTTGATCACAAGGGAAGGGCCAGGGATGGGATGAGCGTACCTCTGTAGTGCGCCGTGGAAAGGTGTCGATCAAGGGGTTTGCTGGCCTGGCGAGAGTCAGAAAGAGAGACTTATTCCGTCTTTGTGCTTCGTTTGTGCGTTTGTGCTGGGGGATCGACGAGGGAAGCGTCCCCTCTAAGCGGCGCTTCCTGCACAAGCAGCAAAGCGGGTTGAAGCTCTAAATTGAGTGACGTCGAAGCTTAGGGGGCAGGTCTTGGATCAGTGGCAGCACCCTAGGACGGGCCAGGTAGCAGGGGCAGAGAGTCAGGGAGGACCAGATTGGCAGAGTAAACGGGCTAGAGGGGGATGGCTGGTTGTTCTCACTGTTCTGTAGTGGTTTGGGTAAAACGGTGGTGTGTGCTTGCGTGCGTGTGTGCTTGGTAGTGTCGAGGTGCTTGGTTGCCGGGGGTGGGCTGCTGGCTGGTCGGCGGTTGCTGGTTGTTGAGCGGATGGCGTGGGTCTGCTTGCTCAGCCAGGACAGACAAATGGTGGTGGGATGGCGGTGCGTGTGGGGAAGAGGCGAATGCGGTGTCGGATGGTCGGTCGGTCGGCGTGCGTTTGAGGGGCCGATAATAGCTTCTTGAGTTCCAAACTCGATCTTAGATAGGGGCCAAGGGTTGGCCAGTCGCCAGGCTGGAATGCTTGACAAGCACACAAGCTGCTATCTCTGTGATGCCGTGATGAATGTGTTTTATGGCTCTGTGTGGATAGAAGTGAGCTTCTGATGGGTTGCTGATGTATTGCAGTCGTGTCGTATCCGTAGGCTTCGTAGAAGGGTAAAGGAGGGCAGCCAGGCAGATGAAAGAGGTTCGATGTCAACGCAAAGATCGTGATGTTGATGGAGAAGGGTTCCAGTGTGCGTCTGCCAAGTTGAATGGCATTGAGAAGACTGGAGATCAGAGGAGGCTTGTTTGATGGAGCCGCGGAAGGAACGCAGTTTACCACTTGCTCCTTCTATTGTGGCATCTGCTCCTGCCTGTCTATTCGTTCCTTCTCTCGCCCTCGCTCTCGTTCTTGCCGTTCGTACTATTCCTCGCCCTTGCAACACCAACGGCACCTGCACCTGCCTGCACCTCTGACCTGCACTGGTTGACTGGATAATGGTGGAATCGTGGAGGGAAGGTGCCACCACGAACCTTTGGAGCCAGAGATGGCCTGGAAGACCCAAAATGCCAAGTTCAGCATGGAAGATTGGCGCGGAGGCTACGGCAGCTCCCACACCCTCAGGGCCTTCCTCATCCACGATACCACAACCCTGGCTGCCTACCCAGCGCAAGCTCACAGACACACCACCCAATCACGGAAGGCATGGCCTCAGCGTTGCTTCCAGCAAAGACACTTTGGCGGCATTGCGCGGTACGTACCCATCTTAGCGCAGTCTCTAGTGCTGGACGTGCTGGACTAGCGCTCGCAGCCACTAGACGACCGGGTTCTGAACCAGCCAGACCCCCGCTTGTCGACGTCACCCAATCGAATGATTTGCGGGGTAATCAAACCAGCCGCCAGAGGTGGGAAAGAGCGACGGGACGTTTGACTCTTACCTGCACCTGCACTTGCACTTGCACTTGCACTTTTGACTTCCATTGCACTTGCGAGTTGCACCTGTCTCTGACTGCTGTGGAAGTCACGCCGGTCGTTCGTACTCTCCCACTCTTCGTACCCTGTACCATCCACACAGATGGTAGGAAGGAGCTGGGCTGCAGATGGAAGGATTTTAGCAGGGACTCAACACGGGAAAGAAGGGGTCCTCTTCACGTTCTCCGGGTCTCTGTTTCTCTGTCTCTGTTTGACTGCTTATGTCTCTCCCACCTGTCTCTGTCCCGGTCACTCAATTCGTTAGGTGTGCTGATCTTTTTGGGACGCATTGGGCCGTAATTATCCCATCGTTTCCTATCTGCATTTCCTGTCTTGCTTTTGCCATCTTTGCACATCTTCTAGGGACTCCTCTCTTCCTCCTGCGTGTCCTCCCCCTTGCCCCCTCCCCTCCCCCCTCGGTCTTGCATCAGAACCGACCATCTGCGGTACGTACCCCACCACCCTTTCAACGCCCATTCAGCACCGGAACCACCACCGGGACCACCACCACAATCACTGCCAGACACCCGTGACTGCAAAGATTCCCACACAACTCGCATCTGCAGACTCAGAGACATTCATCCACCTCGCCCGCAGTTCACCACGCATACGGTTGCACTCAGCGTATACCAAGCTCAATGCAGTCTACCTTCTGGACCACCAAGCACACACGCGGACAATAGACAGACGTCCCATCTCGCGTGCCATCGCATGCTTGCTCTCGCCACTTTGGGCCGTCTATTGACCACCATGGGCCCATCCGCAGGCACCATCATCTGCCCATGTTTCTGCCACCTCAAACATCTCGAGCTTCGAAAAACGAACTCTGACTTCAGACCAGACGGGAAAGGCTAAGAGCTGGCAGCATCGTCTCCAGCATGTACAAGTACCAAACTTTTGTCAGCGGGAGCCATACTCGTTCAGACTACCAACCTTGATCACAGACCTGTTGTTACTCGACAAGCTCAAAGCCTATATTCTCCTCCTCTGAACCCAAGACCAAGACCCTGGAGGTCTAGGCTGCTTTGGAAGCTTTCCGATGCAAAAGTTGCCAAAGGCGGTCACATCGAAATTCCCAATTCCCTCCTCTTCCGACCACATTATCAACCCGTAGTACCTACGCTCGTGTCTCTTCGACCAACACGAGCAGCTGTCGTGTCACCATCCGGTCCTCCTTCAGTCACGTTTGGTGTGTTGTACGTAGACTATTGGCAACCAGGCTACCTTAGCTCGACATGCCGGAATTCGACGCCTCCTCCTTCTATCTTTGACTGCGTCCACTTGGCATGCAGACGGGACCTAGCAAGTACTGCCCCGGATAGACAAACCATCCGTGAGCGACTTGCACACTGCTTCAATTGCCCTCCGCCGCTTGAACCAGGATGCATTTCAGGCGGCACGCAGGATCTCAGCGACGAGAGATTGGCGAAGCAGCCTGGTCTCTCAGCCGCTGGAGACAGGGACGTGGGCAGTGGGGGTTGGTTGGATGGCGAACAGTATCCAACTCCGTACCTTACGGATACAATGTCTTCTTCAACTCGTTGATGCACCACACCCGGCTACTCGAGTCAATAAAGTGGCCGAAGCAACGAAGCAAAGAGGGGAACATGTTTCTTTCGACGCAACTTCACGACTCGCTACATCCTCTGTCTATGCACGCCTGTATCCCACGTCGAAACTCGAAGAAGAACTCTAGCACCGCACCTGTTATATCGTGGCACACATATTGGAACGTTTATCTTCTCTTTCTTCTATTGATGCTCTACCTAGATCCCACCCCTCCCGAACCCGTCATCCCTTCCCAAGCCAACCAGAACACCGCCGACCTCCCCGAACCCTGGTTTGACCAACCCCTCTGTTCAACACTTCCCCAGACTATCCACATCCGCAGCTCCCTTCCTGACTCGTTCCTGGGATTCCCATCCGTCTTCGTCTTCAACAACGATTGACTTGGTCTGCTTCCCCGCAAATTCCGGGTCTCAGCACCAGCGGGCCCCATTTCGCACGCGGATTTGGTCCTTGGCCAGATAGATCCCCGGCCTGCCAGATTAGCCCTCCCGCTAGCAACAGGACAACCGTGAACCGTGAACCGTTCTCTGGCCACGCAGCTGGCTTATCTTGGCAGCCAGTCCATCCTGTGTCAGCCTGCCCGGATTTTGCAACCGTCCCACGAGCCATGCGTCGTGTTGTGTCACGAGAAAGCTTAATGGTGAGAGGCTTGCTCCATTGGTGATGGCTACGTTGATCAAGGTCCAACATTTCTTTTGCCAGATAACACAGCACCGGCCACAGATTTCATTGCCACCTCTTCCGCTTGTTCGCTGCGCCAAAGCACCTGGCAAGCTACCACTGCAGGTCGCTTCCCGGAGGTCCGGCTCCGCGCCGCGGTAGTGTGAAGCTCCTGGTGGACCCTGAACTCGCGGCACAGCATCTCAACCAGCCAGCAACATGTGCAACAACGGTCATGCGCCCGCATCTTCTCCAATTCCTGTAAGTTCTGTTACCCCGCCTTGTTTGAATCAAACTCCGAGGTGGTGGGCAAGAGTTCACTCGCAGGCCAATCTCGATGCTCTCTTATCTCTTGCTCAATTCGGGCTTCCCTGTCAGTAAGCATGGACTAGTGATGAGGGGTGACGAAATGATTGTCACCGAGGGTGATGTCAAGCGGTTGCGTAACCTCGCTAGGCTGTCAAGGAAAATGAGACCACAGAGATTGCCCAATCGTTACCGTGTGCGAGGGCATTAGTTCCCTCGAAGGAGGCCGTTGTCTCTGTTGTTATCTGTCAGAAGGCCTAGGTAGCTGAAGTACCCAAGCTGAGACTAGGCAATGGCAGGGTTGCAACACATCCAGGTGCCAGTCAGTCAAGCCAACTCTATTTCAATGGCGTTGGCAAGATGATCTCGCCTCAAGAAGTAGATACCTATTGTCGGATTGGAAGTCCAATTCGACCGCGGCGTACGGCCGACTGCGCAGGGGCCAATTAGGGCCCTATTTCCGATTATCGCAGCCTGCCCAACCTACGGTTGGAACCTCCTTTTTACACCTACGCAGCAGAATCATATAGTCAATTGACCTACTTCGTCAAAACCACGGTTCGAACCAATCGACCAATATCCCTGTGATAGGGATACCAACACCTATCCTATCAACTCAGTTCCGGTTTGTAGTGAGTCCTTTTGAGGGAGTCTTGACATCCCCACTCCTCGTACACACTGTCACATTTGACAAGGATTGGGTTGCTGACTGAGTTCATGAGTGAGGTGAGTTCAAATGGCGCTAATGAGTACAGGTGTACCTACTCTTTCGAGGGAAAACAGCTAGATATATACCTATCTCACCATACTTCCCTTATATCCGCCTACAAGTAATTTCGAAACAGAGCGGAAGTTAGGGGGGGAAAGCTGGAGGCGAGTTTACTGACGCAGAATGAGATAGCCAATTGCAATCTTCACAGGGGCTTGACCGGTCAGCGGGGCATGAGAAATGAGCGTTGCATGTGTGCTCTCGACCCTGTCGGCTTGAAGGAGTTCCAAAGGATAAGAGTTGGATTGATCCGGTTACGACTATACTTCATGCCACGCAGCTCTTGCACTTTGCTGATTCAGAGAGAAATTGGCCTGCCTTGGTAGCTTTTGCAATGCATTATTCTAGATTGACTAAGACAGTAAGAGACAGTCGTTGCCTGCTGATGTGAGCTTGGAGATCTGTCTTCATTTTGCACAGCGAACATTCGTGCCATACGATGCAGGCTGTGATGGAATATATAGATTTAAACGTCGATTGATTCTGGTGATCATCAGTCAATGTATCTGGCCCATGACAAGCTGTTCTCGCTCTGAGATAGGTCACATGTGGACTTGTAGATCGTGTGCAGTGGAGTGATATCTACATTTTAAACGACTAAGTGTCAACCTATACCTGCTGGCTAGAACATATGCTATCTGTTAGTATTTACGTCAGCAGAGCGAGGCCTTTCGGCCGTTATGAAGCTCAAAAGTCCGGGTGTGAACTGCGTATGTGTACGGAACGAGGAAGTTATGGGTGTAACCCACGTTGCCCACGTTGGGTGTAAGTAGAGAGGGGCCTTTGTATAACCAAGACCACATTCCAAATCCATCTTTTCTACCGTCAACATTCTAACAATCATTGCTAGGATGCATAAAAATATGTATAGCATTTCTGCACACATGGCGTTGAGATTATGTAGGAGTGTTAAGCTTTGACTCAACATCGTTGTTTCGGTCCTGAAGTATTGAGCTACGAATGATAGCATAGCTTAAATGTTCGTATGTAGTCGAATCTATGAAATTACCACTTGAAACATGTTCTACTGGGTAAGACACCCCCTTTGACTATGGAATCGGCAACATCACAAGCTGCCTGCCACCTAAGCAGCATCACTTTGAGCCATGATGTCCTTCATCGCCGCGAGTCGATCGCCCTTGATCTGGGCAATCTCCTCAGCCTCCGCCTTCTGCAACTTGGTCATGTACTGGGTGAACGCGTTTCCAAGCTTGAGGACCTTGTTGAAGTGGCTCGCGTCCGGCTTGACCCCCTTGTCTTCCGCCAGTGCCAACGCGCTCCTGACGCAGTTGCGGATTTGACGGCCGTTGAGGGGCTGCGAAGCCCAGGACTTGGTCACTTCGCTGCCTAGCGCTTTGCACTCGTCCCGTGAGAGAAGGGCCGGTGAGCCATCGCGGCGCTTGCGGCCGAGGTCTTGGATGAAGATCTTCCAGACTTCTTTGCGGAGGGGTTCGTCGAATTCTGGCATGCCGATTGTGATGTGGATTCTGGATTGGAAGGCTTGGTCGAAGGCGCCGATGCGGTTGCTGGTTAGGAACATGATGCCGTTGAAGTATTCCAACGTTCGGAGGAAGACTGCGTTTGAAGTCAGCACTTGGCCATGGTTCTGTTGATTCGGAGTTCGTAAGAAGACTTACTGGATACCAGCGCGTTTCTTTGTAGATTGTCGTAGTCTCGGTCCTGCAAGAAGATGTCTGCTTCGTCAAGCAACAGTATGGCATCCCATGCTACGGCATGGCGGAAGATCTTCGACAACTTCCCCTCGAGGGTCTCGGGGTCTGTCCCAAGATCTCCTGCGGTTACCATGTAAAGAGGCTTCTTGAATGATTCTGCAACGCACTCTTTTGATTTTATGTCAAAATCCGTTCTCATTAACCCGCTTCGGAACACATACCTGCGGTCAAAGTTTTGCCGACGCCTGGAGGCCCATGAAGAAGAATGACCAAGCCCTCGCCTTTTCCGTCAACAAGATCATGGAAATTAGTACTATGCGCGAGATAGGACTTGACCATAGCCCAGATGACTTCTTTGTACTCCGGTTTTAGGACCAGTCGCTTCCATGCATCGACTGCAAATTGCACCGGTTTGAGGTCAACGACATCGAACAAATCTTCATATCAGTTAGCTTTACTCCGAAAGCGTACGATGCTTGCAAGGACATACCCCATCTTTTGTCACGGAGACTGAATGCACGTACGACATGAGGGCAAAGCATGAGAGCCAGCTCATTCGGTTTAGTCGTTGGCGAAATGCTGTCGTAGTCACGAAACCAATTGCCCCGCGTATCTCCTACTTCTTCGGCCTCGGTTCGCCTGAGGACATCATCAGGCTCGTAACCTATCCCGCTATTCTCAGTCGTCTGAGAAATATCAGATCCTCTTCCAGCCATTTCGCTCCACTTTGCAATAGCTTCGCGTTGGTTGTACACGGTTGATGGAGCGCGGGGGAACTGGCCTTCATCCATTGCACTGTCGACCTGTGTCTGGACAATTACTCTCATTCCGGGACCCCCATCATGGCCATGTGCTTTGGATGTTACCAACTGTTGAAATCTAGATGTCGTTTTCATCTCCCAGTAGCTCTGACCTCGAGAGACTGCAAATGCTCTGACAGCATCTATATCCTCCATGAATCTTGCCGGTACGAAACGTAGTTTTGCGATCTCTTTTCCACCATGGAATCGCTTTACGTTATATGTATAAGGGAGTTTGACGAAGACGGACCGCTGCGGATTGTGTTCAATTGACCAGCAATGTAGCAGCAGCTGTCCTTGGTACATTCCCGGGGGTCCCGTGTTGATACTCGGGTAGTCGACGATGAAGCACGCGGTCTCCAGGCCCCGAATTCTGACGAAAACGGGTTCGCCTGGTGTATAAAGCATCCAGAGGTCGTCATATTGGACAAGAGTGCTGGGACCGGCCGATTTCAAGGCCTCGAGTCTCGACCGGGTTTCATGGAAGGTTGGTTTGAGAAACTCTAGGATCGTCTTAGAAATGGCAAGATTATGTGTTGAAGCTTTGGTATCATTGGCAGTTGTAGACTTTGGCGGCGCTGTCGATACCTTCTTCTCGAACGCGTCTAAGCGGAGTAAAAGCGACACATACGGTGGATAGAAAACGATTCCTCGATCTGTCGCCGGTTCAGAAAAGGGGAACGGCTCGAGGCCCCTCAGGAAATCGCTAAATTCCCACCAGTCTACCTCTATTCTTTCTGGCCGGACTTTTCCGAAAGCATCCACATGCTGGTAGAAAGTGACCTCTGGTATCTGGGCCGTATCGGTATGTTTCTCGTCTTCCGATGGCACGCCGACAAGCTGAACCGTTTTGAAGCGCCCCTGACGATCTCTGTATGATCGTAATGTGACATGGCCGATTCCGACACCGAACTAGTACTCGTGAGACATGTATCGTGGAAGAAGCCATTGCGTTAACATACTTCGTTGATTTCTCGAGAAGGAGCGGAAGTATCGGGTTTCTTCCTACTTCCACTTTCATGTGTTGTCATATGAATCGACGGAGCTGGAGACTCATCAATCTCGCTACTGGGAGAATCTCGGTAACTGCGGTTTGCGCGCTCATCTGTTTCGCTAAGGCCGTGTGAATTGTCGGATCCTGAGTGCATGGCGGCGGGTTAAGTCGGAGTTTTGTCAGTCAATGAGTCGTTAAAATCCAGAGCAATCTTTCCAGTACCGGTAGATGGCCCATTGGCTATGCAAGCTGTTCATTTATAGCATAATTGCCTCTAGCTCGCCTAAATGCTCGCTCCGTAGGCGAGGCTACCGTCTGTAGTATGTTCTCGGCAGGCACAGCTTATGTTATTGCGACTATCTTAGTGAAAGACAAATGGAATCGACCAAACCAATCGATCAAGTGTGCTGTGGAGCAGTTTCTACCTGTAATATGGTGTGCGCATGTTGAAGCAGGCTTTGAGCAGCAGCCATCCTGCATCGTATGTCGTATGACACCCTATCAGGCCGCGTACTCCGTCACCTCTATTTCTACGACTCGTAATCTTCTCAAACCACTCATGTGTTGCCAAAAGCTCTTTAAATCTGATCCCTTCCTATTTCCCTCCGAGAACATGCCTCCAATATGGGCGAGCTGCTGCGCTCCCAACGTTTCAGTAGTTTCATTGGTCAGCCTGATTTATTGCTGCTACATAAGCTGCATATGTGCGCTGCACCCAGAACATGGCGCTGTTTAAGTGGGATCAGGTAGTCCAAGTCTTGCATATGTACATTTCAGGCAAATAGTACTTTGTGCTGCAATAGTACTGACGACAAGCTTGGCAGTCATGCAGATTACGAGGGCATGCACCGTGATTGATGAACCCACATCTTTCCTCAACTGGCCATTTCAATGCTCTCTTGAAGACATCGATTTGGCTACCCATATTTCTCTCATAGTGTTTGTTATAAGGGCGTTCTCAAAGCCATGTCTTTGGTCGTGCACTGCTAAGAAATCTCATGGAGATAAATGTCGACCGCAACATGAGCAGCAGGTTATCCAGTGTCAGCGAGCCCTCAGACCAGAGTGGCTCTCTGAGGCGAACGATCAGGCTGGGCCATCCACCTGCAAAAACACTCTCCAGGCCACGACTTCGTGACGGGAAATTGAGTCAACTTCTCGAAAAGACCAAGCCACAGAAACGCCAATCCATGGAAGAGGCAGAGCTAATAGAGTCTTTGAAAACGCTTCAAGGAACTCAAGTATTTGCGACAGACACGACACTATCTCACACCCAAAATAGGACTACAGTCGACACGAATAGAAATGCGTGGGCCCTTGATGCGACCGCTAACCCATCTTTGAGAGACAAGTTCGAACAGCTGGGGTTGGCGGTAAGCGAATACAATATTGCTGCGTCTCGTGAAAAACGCGAGATTGTGATCAAAGATGGCTGCAAGCTTCAAGATGTACTAGCTCAGGCAAACGCCTTGCAGGAGGCCAGATCTACAAACAAAGACGATAAAAGCCTCAACAGCAGCATACAGGCAGGCTTGCAGCAATTTTGCCAATCGACTCTCCATTATGCTGCAGTCATGGATACACTGGCACAACATCATCCTGAATGGGTCAGTCTAGCTTGGGGAACGATGAAGCTGTTGCTCATGATTCCGATCGAGTACCAAAAAGTCAAGGAAGGTATTGTTACCAATCTTGGACGTATAGGGAGTAAGCTGGAGCTCGTGAGCCTACTGTTGTCTTTCTATCCAGTTGAGAGAATGACAAATGCGGCTGCGGCCATCTACGCGTCGATCGCAGATTTCCTGGCATTTTGTCTCCGGTACTTGCGTAGTAATTGTTTAGGTACAAAAACTTCCGATAAAAGCGTTATGTATTCACGTTGCTGATGATGCAATCTCGCCCGCCACCAGTCAAAACCTTCAAGACGATGGTCGCACCTTTCGACACCAGGCTCGGGCCCATTCTCAAGACCATTGACGAGAATTACGCCATCTTGAGACAAGAAGCTGAAATTCAGTCCATGATATATCAGTTTCAACGATACTGCAGTATGCAGAGAGATCTATTTGAGATCAAAGAAGATCATGGGCGAATCATTGGAGTACTAGAAGGTAAGGTACTATCGACATTAAGGGCCGATTCCAAGACCTTGTTCAGAGCTAATACGCCTAATAAAGAGATAATTCGTAGGGATGACATGGATCGAGAAAGAAGAAGCAAAACGATAGATGGTCAGTGCCAAAATGTCAACGCCAACTGGAAGTTCTAACATTCCTCTCAGCATCTGAGAATCTTGACCGGAAACTTCTGAAACCGCCCGAGCTCGAGATATGCGATGATTTCTTTCAGGACCTACTTCCCCTGGACAGAAATCTACATCAAGTCCACCTCCAATTAGATCTGCTTCCAATGTCTTATTTGGTAGAGAGCAGCAATGTCCTTCGTCTTCCTTCATTCCAGTCATGGCTAAGCAGTTCAAAATCTGGTCTTCTGTGGGTAGATGGGTATAAGATACCTCGCCGCCCTAGCTGGACGACGGACTTGTCTCAAAAGATTGTGCGTGCAGCTACGGAGAGCGGCTACGATACACTTTCGTATTTCGGGAGCCTACATCGAGGGAGTGACGACGATACACCAAAGCCGCGCGCTCTCGTACAGAGCCTGCTTTTCGGCATGCTTCAGAAGTTTCCAACAGTGACTTCACATGGCGATCCAGAGCTACTCAACGCCGAGATCTTCGTTGCTGCTAAGACAGACCTGGACCTTTCATGGAGAATTTTCGTGGAATGTCTGCGCGCTCTTCCATCTTCCACCATCTACATCATGATAGAAGGCGTTGATCACTTCACCATGGCTGGGGATCAAGCTACCGATTTCGAATCTTTGCTGAAACGCCTAAGCACATTGTCAGCTGCTCTATTGGATGATAAAGTAGTCAAGCTTGCCTTGACGTCTGTTCGACCAAGCGCAGGATTTCAGCACCTGTTTCCCAACCTAGAGAGACTCGAGGTTTATCATGACCACAAGCTACTTATACGCGTGCCAGCTGCAGCCGCGCGAAGACGCAAACCCCGATCAAAGTTACAGAAGAAGAGACAATCGCCCCTTTATTCCCCAGGACCAACGTTGGAGCCAGAACCGACTGATATGGGTAGCGACTTTGCCCCTTCTGACTCAAGTGTGGACAGAGGCGGCAATGTCAGCGACTCAAGCTCAGACTTCGATATCTTTGGTCAAGGCAAGAGGGAGATAGGCCGTGTGAGATCCTCTTGGTCAAGTCCGACTCCTGAACATGGCCGGGCGAGTCCTCTTCAACTTGATTCGGAGAAGAAGGCGAAGTTGACGGGAGAACAAGAGGCCGAGGATTCCGACAGCTCATTCGAAATATATGAGGCGCCTACTGCTGCGTTGCCTGACCAAAGGCCAGCCAGCGAAGGAGACCTTTCGGATTTTGCACCATGAAGGAAGGCTCAATTCGGGGTTTTACGCTTTGTGGTCAAGATATCAATCAGGCAAAGTTACTCGTGCTTTCAATGTTCATAGAGCCCGACTTCATGCTTTACTTTATAGTTACTCGGATGAATTTTGTCGAACATGACTATCAACCAGAGAGAGTCAACAATCTGTCCTTAGATCCGAGCCATGAACAGTACTGTCCGGAAAGTCGTTGGATCTGCCATGACTTTTTACAAAGAACTTTCCCAGTCCTAGTGACAACACCAAGACGAGAAGATGCATGCGTCGGAAACGAGAGCGAGTTCGTCTTCCGTTTGATATGGCGCAATGATGAAGCATACTTCGTACTGCGCGTATATCATGATCATGTGAGTAATCATCTTTCTCGAGATCCGTCTCGAACCCGAGACACTGACGCCGGCCACTTTTGATCAAGAATCGGCAGACTTACACCGAAGGAGATCTCCGAAAATCACCTCATCGAGCGCGGCACGGCCTGTGGGTTGCTGCGGCTGGCCAATGACCAGGATGACCCGAGTTCAACATATTGACGCACCCATCTTGCCGGATTTCCGACCACGCGTCACGCCGGAAGCAGTAAGTTGCCTGACAAATAAGAAGGTTTGGTTTGATCTACGAGTAAACTTCGACTCAATTCTTCCCGCGTCGATGCCTTCACCAAATTGAGCGCCTTGCAGAATGACAGATGCGGAAAGCAGGCTGTGCAATCTTCGCACCTTGATGAGACCGTTGACGTGTGGCCTGTTCGTCATCTCCGAAAGACAAGGACTGCTTCTACTTTTCACTTGGGGAGTCTCACGACAAGCATCAACTAGTGCCGGGTATGCCCTCAAGCTTAAACGCGCATATACAAGACGGACACTGTCTAGCGAAAACTTCGATTTTCCGGCTACTAGACCCATGCTGACCAACTGTATCAACGGACATTAACTTGGGCAGACCATCCCTCAGTGTAAGTCAATCGAGTATTGTGAGAGCAATGCATTATGATATGTGAGTCGTTATAGTGATGACCGCCCAGAAACTGATCGACGAACGACCTGGACGGGTGCAACATTGACGAGTCCTTGGCGAGGCCCGTCTTAGCGAAATTGTTGGGACGAAGACGATCTTGTGAACAATTATCCGAAGACACAATCTTCAGACGATTGCCAGCAAATTTGATCCGTTCGGAAACCGCGTGGGACTCAATGTGGGATAGGTATTACAGTTCTCCCTTCCTGCCACTTCATTACAATATGATGTGGAATGAGCGTCCCGGAGCCTTAATTCTCCAACATGGCTAAAACGACAATGAAGGGGAGGCTTAGCAGTTTTCGCACTAGTTGAGAGTTTCAAGCAACTTTTGAGACCCTGCTACTGCGGTAGTGCCGCTCTTGATTCATGTCACCAGAGCTTAAACTCTCCCTTCCCCCCACTTCCGGCAGGGGACAAACGCAAGGCGGAGAAAAGATGGAGGCCGGCCGAGGAGACCGCGGGCAGCGTGTTTACAAGCCTCGTGCTTCCATATTACGGATAACGGAAACGGCATCTTTTGCCTTGCTCCTCAGCACATGCAGGGTCCGTCCCAGTTTTGAGATCAGCCCACCAGCGAACCTGAGACTCGGCGAACTTTGTTTTCCTCGTTGGGCTGGCTTGATTCCAGCCCTTTGGCAACCTCTCTGCACGCACGCTCTGATTCTGGATTGACTCTGGGAAATGTAATCACCACGTGTGGACATGTAGTGATTATCGGCTGCCTTTCTAAGAATCGGACGCCGCTAAGGTACCGAAGGGGACGGAGCGTGATATCTTCAGCTTACTTTCGAACTCATCAAAGAAGTTCAGTTTTCTGAACCAAATGAAGAATTGTGATTCATGTTTCCCTTTGCTTCTTTGTGTCCTGTTGAGCAAGTCCACGCGAAACAACTACTGAATGACGAGGCCGACATGTCTTGGCGTCTTGACTGATCTTGCCAAGCCACCAAACATGTTGCCTCGAAATCGGGTCCGGTTGCTCAAGCGATTGGCAGATTGTTTATAGAAGCAATTGAAACCTGCTCATTCGGCAGGGCGATATATCGGACTCCGAAGCACCAGCCAGACGAGTCATCGACGCAAGAAGAAGGCGAGTGACCACTATGCGAAATGATCAGACTTGTAGCAGATGATCTGAAGGCCTCTAAAATTCGGTAAAAGATGAAGTAGACCTGACACTCAAGTGAAGAAAAGGATGGAAGTTAGGAGGAGTAATGCTAGGTCCAGACCGAGGGAACAGAGCCGAGGGTTGGATGAATTTGGTGTGAACACTCGTTCTCGCCAAGAATTGTGACTGGCGCTTGTGGTAGAACGCTTCCAACAACTGGATGGAGATCTTCAGCCGTCTGTCGGTGCCAGTGATCCATGGACCAGCTTCAAGAAGAAGCACTCAAGAAGCTCGCGCGATGGGAACGATTCTGGTTGGTGTCTTGACGCATTGAGCAGAAAATTCGTATACAGAGCAGCCCCAAGGCGAGCGAGGTGAAACGCGATGTGCGGCGATCCCAGCCAGCGACTGGCTCAAAAGATCAGCCCAAAACACTTGCGGGTAAACCTTCTTCTCCTTCGAATCCACCCCAAAGCTTGTCTCTCTCGGTTCAGACATCAGACGGGCCGGGCGATGCGCGCGGGGTGACCGTTGTGGACACCCACATTGTGAATTGAAGCTTCACCCGAGAGCGAAACGACCCCTGAAAGCATCACGATGACTGGGACTGAGTTGCTTCCCATCGTGCGGCGGACAGGGTCTTCGGCGTACTCGGACGAAGTATGTTCGCCTAATCGTTTGAGATGACGACGCGATGGAAACTGGGTGTAAGTGGCCGTGTCCGAATTTTGCTCGGAAGGTTGGGCTATATAATTCAATCAAAGAAACTCTCACTTCTGGCTTTGGGATCATCAACTCAGTCTCTTTCCAGTTCATCAAGTCTTACTACTAAAGGCTCTTCACCCTCTACATTCTTTACATCATATCACGCCTATCACTTAGATCACTAAACACTATTATTCAAGATGCGTTACACTCAGCTTCTCCTCTCTCTCTTCCTTCTCTTCACTTTCGTCATTGCTCTGCCCGCGCCGGCGCCGGTAGAAGCCGTCGCTGCGCAAGACGCCGCCGACAAGAACAAGAATAAGAATAATAACAACAACGGAAATAAGGGCACTAAGACGAAGACCAACAACAACGGCAACACCAACAAGGGTCAGACCACCAAGGCCACGAAGAACGGAACCGGAGGAAACACCAGGCCTACCGCTGACGAGTGCGCTGCTGCCAAGAAGCTGGCTACTGGTATCGACAAGAACATCTCCATCCAGAAGCAAGAGCAGAAGGATGTCGCTGCTGTGAAGAAGGCTGTTCAGTCTGGGAACAAGGGTCAGTTCGACCAGGCTAAGACCAAGCTCGTCGCTACTGTCAAGTCTGGAGCGGATGTCCGCGCCGAGAACCAGAAGATCGCTCCCAAGGGTAACGCCGCAATTCCGGGTCTGAAGAAGGTACGTTCGGACTTTTACCCCACAAAGTGAAGCGGTAAAAAACAGCAATCTGACAAGTCATTATAGGTCCAAAACGCACAGGCTACCGAGTTGAAGCAGGCTCAGGGTCTCACAGGCAACAACGCTGATCTGGATACCATCGCCCAGATGGAGAAGGAATTCTCTGGGGGTATCGACCAGAACCAGCAGAACAAGAAGGATGCTCTTAAGGGTTGCTAAGCATCTCGAGACTGGATGTGCTTGAGGACCGAAGGATAGGCTGCACGTCACTGAGCAGACTAAGGTTGGGAGCAATGGATAGCGTTGTATATGAAGGATTCTCAGTAAATATATAGTGAATGAAGCCAGTTCGGTACACTTTGACTTTTTAGTGATGGGTTCACTCCAAATTCGAAACATTCGAGTGCTTCGATACTTCTGTTCTAGTACGGTGGTATCATTCTCCTGTAATCACCTTGAGCGTGACCTGATGCCGACTCATGCCAATCGCTCAGGGGCTTCAATACTTGGAAATTTGGAGACTGTTAGCTTGAGGCTGTTAGTCAATGTGATATAGGTTAGTATCATTGTACGAAGGCCAACAGGCTTTAACAGGTTGCCCTCTCTTCGAGGTGTTTAAGATCATGATACTTGTCAAGTTGTATGAGATGTTACTAGCGGCTGTGCCGCTGTAATCGACGAAAGAATAACCTTCGGTGATTGCATAGCTTTTGACGGAGTTCTTCCAAATTTCTCATTACATGTTTGACTTCTCTCTGTCTCTGCTTAGCGTTGTTCAGAAGGAAGTTGATGCTGCTGTGCAGAGGCACATCTTCGAACAAAGTGGAGGCGATGCTGGATACTGTTGTATCTCTTCAGGGTAACATAAATCAAATTTGATGCAGCCGTGGCCTCTAGGATTATTGAACACAGTCAAATTCCGGAGCATAACTCTTAAATAACGCCGCTTCTTGAACGAGAAGACCGAGTTGCTGAGACGCTCACTAGCATCGAAGCAGAAGCTGCAGCATTAGGTGCACCTATTGGTGCGATTCTTCAAGCTTCTACGGCCAAGATTAGCTGCTGGTAGGTTGTCTACTACAGCATGATAATGTACACAACATATGGATAATGGTTTGTTACAGATGAAGACTCGAAAGCTTCTTCGAGAGCCCCTTTCGGAGAGGGAATCCGCCATAGCAAAAGTTGACGCTTTGAAGCAGCCTTACTTCGGTGACACTCAACGTTAAACGGAGTTTTCTGGCAAGATACTAGAAACGAAAATCCAGTCTATCATGCTCAAAAACGAGGATGTAAGCTTTCTCCCATCGTGAAGAAGCTCTGTGTCTGATCTCAGAACTTATTGTAAGGTGAGTGCTCATCTCGGACTTGGTGAATCCACAACATGATAGAACGGATATTCATTCGTCGTAGGAGATTATAAAGCTAGTTATCTAGATTGGCAAGGGGCACGCAATTTGAAGTTTGATCAC